ATCACAATTCACTATCACACAGACGCACACTCCTCACACACGTGTCATTCACTACCTCGCGTTTATTACGATACTCGATACTGAAACGTGATGCAAGAAAATGCAGGACTTATCTTCGTCCTAGTTATCTCATAAGGCCCCTCGCCCACTATACGTTTTCGGGATGGTCGTACGACACTGTGTTGTACGATATTCTTATCGTATGTGTGGTCCTCGCCCACTTTACGACAATCGGATAAATTATCAGTTGCTCGGTAGCCACAATGAATCCGTTACGTGTTGTTGCAATGTGGCTGCGCAGATTAAGCAATAGTGGTCATTGGCCAATGTACGTCTACAGCATTAAAGAAATAATTCTTTTTATGTGTAGATCATTTAAAGACATTTAAAAATTATATAAGTATGTGCCTTTTAACAAGTTTTTTAAATTTACCTATGTTTATAACTTTTTAGATTAGTTTTTAAATATTAAAACTATAATTTTATTACTGTTATACAATTTGCAAAATGTAATATTTAGGTATTAGTGAAACTATTTCACACGATATAATTAATAATTATTATTATACAAAATTAAAGAATAATAAAACTCGAATTGTTTTAATAAAATATTTTGGTATATTTACTTATAAGTGATACAGTGTAGGCTATTAAACATTATAAAGACGAAATATGAACAAATTGTAAAAATATATACCATATCAAAATTACGCAAAATAATGGTTGAAAAAGACAAAAACCAAGTGATATATCAAGCATGATAGTAGAATTGTAAAAGATATATAACACGATAAAAAATACGCAAGAGAATGGTAAAAAGCCTGATACCAAGTGATATAAAGGGTAGTACAGTATCCCCCTTAAGACGGTGACACACTATCGATCTTTTCCCCGAACAAGACCCCGAACCGAGCAGGGAGAAGGGAGAAGGGAGGTCGAAGGGAGGATGTTCGATAGTGTGTCACGGGTCCGTACACCGATCAAGACGCCGAACAAGACATCAGGCCGAGCAGGGAGACGAGCGCTCTGGAGGCGGTTTTTTGGCGAAAGATCAAAGAAAAGATCGGTCCGATGTACGATAGTGTGTCACGGTACATTTTTGCCCCGTACATCGTCGCGAGCGCCGCACCGAGCGGCCGCCTGCGCTAGCATTGATAGTTCCGCGCTCTCACTCGCACACACTCTCTATCTCTCTCCAAACTTCCTTTTGCCGCGCTCGGTAGAATTCGTCTGGTCTTGGTCATGTTCGGGGAAATGTTCGGAGTAGAATTTTGCTGATATTTATCTCCCTTCTCCCTTCTCCCTGCTCGGTTCGGGGTCTTGATCGGGGAAAAGATCGATAGTGTGTCACCGCCTTTAGCACGGCTCTGCTGGAATCTCTAAGTAGATATAAATCTGTAACTAGAGTCTATTGGATTGGAAGTGTAAGTGTAGTCCATGTCTTGTATCCGCCGGTACGTCACACGATAAGGAGGGGGGGGGGTGCGAGGAAAGGACCGAGACAGGACAATGGCGTCAAATAGCTCCGTATCAACGACCTTGGATATACCGACGACAGCTGCCAGCCACTGCAGATTGCAGCAGCCAGAACAGAACAGAACCAGTGTCTCGCTCGACTCTGGTACAAGTGTGCGCAACTATATCAAGATGCACGCTTTTAATCACAGGAATGATATTTGCATATTATGATAATGCATTGAAATATTTTTAGAAATAGATTGAACATCCTTTATTCAAAACTAAAATATGTGCCCATGTATTGAATTCCTCAAGCACAACAATGGTATACTACAGGTTACGTCACACAACGTTAGTTTATTCTAAATGGCGTCTGTAGAATATAAACCCAGAACGACGACCCAACCACACTTGCGATTTAATCACTCAGTCGATGCATTGTGTCAGCGTTTTCTGACAAATAATATTGTTGTAATAATTTAACGTAAAATACGCAGCTATAATAACAGTGGTTAATGAGGCTCCGTAGCCGCCAAAGTCCCGCGAGCATGTATCGAAGCCCGTTACTCGACAGTGGACCCGCGCTGCGAGCAACTAGAGCAGTTGTTCTGTCCACATTCCAGTCTTTCTATTATTTAGTGAATCTGTTATTTTACCCAAGGCAAGTAGTTGTAAATGAACGTACGGAATGAGATTCTTAGAAACATTCACCGTGACCTGCTATTTTTAATGCACTTGATTATACACAACTTTAATGTTAAGGGTTTTTATTTTTCACTTTGTTTTGAATAAGAAGTACCTATATAATAATACATGAAAATTCTAATTGTGTGTAGCACTGCAGCAAACCCGGATGTTTTGTATTCTTTAGTGTAAATGCAATGCGCAGCTAATAGTAAAATACAGGGCGTCCACAAAAGAACTGAAACATTTTAAAGGCAAATACTGATACCAAATAAGAGACTATGTTGAATGTTTTACATATGTATTTAAAGCTAAAATCCTCAAGTTTTATTAGAAACTTAGTAGAACTCAATATGAGCACCATTGGTGGCCCGGCATAAATCTAAGGGAAATTTTACCTCTTCCCAGGTTTTGGTCAGTACTTCGGGGGATACAAACTGTGACATTTATTTACATGTTAGAGGAGTACGTTTTACCACAGTTGGATGACATTGAGATGGAGAATGGCCCTGCCTATTTTCAACAGGATGGAGCGCGATCACAATACAGTGAGCGAGAAGCGCCCATCCAGGGGAGGGTCTCATAGGAGCCCAGATATGACTCCTCTGGACTTTTTTCTTTGGGGTACAGTAAAGAATGACGTCTACTCGGAGCAGATTCGGGATCTGAATCATCTCCGACGAGTGTAGGACACCATCCCCTGAAGTTCTAACCAAAACCTCCAAGAGGTCAAATTTCGCATAGATTTATGCAAGGCCACTTATGGTGCTCATATCGTGCTATACTGAGTTTCTAATACTGTAAAACTTTGGCTTTAAATACATATCTACAACATAAAACATAGTCTTTTATTTGGTATCATTTGCCTTGAAAATGTTTCAGTTCTTTTGTGGACACGCTGTATAATACAAATACAATTGTCAATTATTGACATTTTTTTCATAACACCCCCATATATATATAGTATATTCGTAAACCACTAAAAAACTGAGGAGATTGATAAAAAGCGAGCGCAGAGGGGAGAAATGACCGACCCGGGTAGATGATAGGCCCGTACTGTATAAACACTGTAAGTAACTCCTTTTCTCCCCACTACAGTCGATGACATCATCTGTACATTTTATAGATTTTAAGTTTGTCTAGTAAATTTCCGCAGAAAATCATCTCGACTAACAAAATTTATCAAGTTACTCTACTTTAATTTCGTCTGTTTACCACCTACCGTGAAACGCGGGCTTGTGTCACTCCTATAGGTCCTAGTGTAGGAAGTAAAATTGCGTTTTCGAAGTATTCTACTGTTTGGTTGCTTGATTTTCAACGATAGATACCTACTTAGCGAAACCACATTGATGAATTTTATTAATGCATACAATAAATTTGAAGGGAAGATGTAGGGATACTGTACTATATAATGTTAGAAGCCCACATATATTTAAATCGTTGCCATAAATGTGTACAAATATCATAGTTTGAATGTGCGTTTTGCATAGGACCTGGACTATTATTTTGACCCGGAAGAGAAGGTTAGTGCGTGATAAGCAGTTCCCACAGAGAGACAAGAGATGGTTCGATTGATGTTTTGACCATCGATCGGCGAGTCGCGCGCCTCCCTTCCTGGTGTATTGTGCCGCTTCCCGTGGGCGCGAGCCACTCCCATTCACTGGACACCATGAACTACGCAATGGGGATTGATTTCAGTCAGTTTATTTCAATATCACCAACAAATAAGTATGCCTACCACACTTAAAATTATGTACCACTGCAATATTCATCCATGTTGAATGAGAAATTATAGGCCTACCGTGACAATGAAGAACATAAGTGCCAAAGTTGACTTTGCACATTTTAAAATATCCTTTTGGCATTTCCAGACGATAGTGATTTAGCTCCACAGATACGATTTGGGAATAGATTAGGCTAAATGCTATCCATCCAAATTTCTGGGATAAAATTGAAATTAATATAGGCCTAAACCAAATAATCTACAGATGATCTTGAGAGGTAATGGGTGAGTTTGAAAAATAATGGTGTACAATACACGAGCATTTAAGATTCACAAATGGTTTGGTTGGTTTGAAGGTACAGTACGGCCAAATATACGAATTCAGGACCATCTCAACATCCGAGATGGTGACAATTCACCATTTTTTCGAGTCCTCTCCCAAACAGGGGTAGCTCGACGAATACAAAACTAACACAAACTGTGCTTATCTGAAAACCTAATTTTCTCTATAGTTCTATTCTTCTGCAGTTTAAAGACTATCGATTCTCATCCTTACGTGTGTCTACTTGCAACCTCAGTCATGTTGCACCGTCGTCCGCTCCAAATGGAATCAATTATGTTGACAACTACAGTTAAGAAATCATTTGACAAATGTTTACATATTCACGTGTTTTCTTTTTCTTTCTGACACATCGTCTACCTTGGTGACACCTTATCGCCTACACTCTGACTCAATTATCACCAACCTCCCCCCCCCCCATAAACCACTTGTGACCATCTGTTAAGTAATATCTTTTCTTTATTGGAATGGAACAATTGAAAAACTTATTTTATCCATATGAGCTTTTGCTATTGCATATCGATTAGTAAATTATGGTGTCCTTAATCAAGTTAACATACACACACACGTGGATGTAGTTTACTTAAGTTCACTCCAAAATACATACAACAAAATAATCCAAGAGCAGATGACCAAAAAAGGGCCACCAACCTTATGGCAATTGTACTTTTTAAAATTAACACTTTGTTGACCCCCCCCATGTAAAAAACTAGTCTGACATTTAAATAGCGAATAATATTGGTAACCACATTTTTTGTCACCGGCTCTTGTTTCGCAAACCAATACACCACTTACCAAAACGTCGTAACATATGTCTCTCAGCTCCTTCTCGACCTTTTCCCTGTACTCCCTCGCCATCTGCTGTTTCCTCTCCGAGGCCTCAGTCTTCTGCTCGATGGAGGATATGACTCGCCATGACGAACGTCGCGCTCCTACCACATTCTTGTAGGCGACACTCAGCAAGTTGCGTTCTTCATTGCTAAGCTCCACGCCTGTCTCTGTGACGCTCTTCATTGCCGCTGCCATGTCGTCATATCGCTCAGCTTGCTCGGCCAGCTTGGCTCGCTGAACCAGCTCTTCCTTGTCCACGGACATTTGTGTGAGTGACGGTATCGGATTAACTCTGCAATCAAAACAACACCCGCCACATCAGACTTGTGTTACACTTAATGTAAATTAAATATTTAATGTTTGCGTAGTTGTACTTTAAAGTTGTTTGGTTATTGTCTCCTTGGTTGACCGTTAACGTTACTATCGATCGCAGAGTCAGCCACTGTTGACAGTTGTTACCGCTGTGATAACCGCTACGATGTCGTCAGTGCCACACCGATACAGCTAGTGACTAAGCTGACACTTGGCCTTCCGCGGGCAGTGTAGGTGGGAGGAAGGTGGAGGCAGGGAAAAGACCGGATTGCAAACATTTCCGCTGCTTCACGGGGTTGACTCCCCTTGCATTGTACTTGAGCGCCTTCATATGGGTCGCGAGGGCAGTTTGATGAAACCCGCATGACGGGACCTAATGTTTTTGAACTAGATACTAAAGCGATCGGCCAAGTGCCAGCATGAGCTGTAACTGCAAAGATATAGGTAGTGCAACAGCCGATAATGAATGAATTGAACTAATAGAATCTAATTTTCTGTAAACAACTATAATAATCCCCCTCCGCAGCAAACCTGCAGACTAAGTGAATTTCCATTAACCTGATTTGATTTTCAGTTTAGTCTATGAGACAAAATAGGCTATTTGTACCCTAACTTGACAGCCAGGCATGTGATCGAAACCGTGCTAAACGGATGGGAACGACCTACATTAGGCGGTGTAAATGAACAGTACAAACATGAATGGAGCAATGGAGAGCCACTTACACGAGGACGGCTAATTGTAGCTCACCAGCTGCAGCTGAGCCGTCTACTGTAAAACAACCGGTTTGTACGTGATACAGACTGCTGACGCATACTGCGTTGTGTTCACGTTTACAGCGCAGGCCTAATCTTAATAGAAGAGAAAAACTGTGTTTACCTTGTAAACCTACGTACCCAAAAAAGGCAATACAATATTGAGTAGATATTGGAGGTATATTAAAATACTATAAAACCAATTGACAATTTAAGATCAATATGTTTTACTTCATACTGGTGGCTTGAACAGTAAAACGAATTATTGTATCGTCGCTAAATGGTATTAGCATCAGGTAACGGGACCTCGACTTGGCAATTCGCGTTACAGTATATTATGCAGAGTGAGAAATTAACACAAAATCACACACGATTAGCATCATCACAAACGCTGACGAGGATTAGCAATAAAATGCAGTTCAAGGAATTTAGAGTGATCACCCCTACTTAATTCGATAAAACATCTAAAAAAACGAATATCCTGGCGTCAAAGTGCGGGTTATAATGATGAAAAGTCGGTGAAATCGTGAGAAATCGTCGATCTAATGGGTTGGCAGCCGGTAATTAGACTATTAATGCCATCTTAATTTGCTAGACAATCTCTATATAATTACCAAGCGAGTTGCCGTAGCCTGTTAAAATATACACTTTGTAGCTTATAATGTAGCATATGTCTATTTATAATTCTAATACAATAGTCTTGAAGGGGTTGGAGCTATAGTGCGCTGCCAATGGTATTTTTTGATCGTACGTCATCGCCTAACTTGGCGCCTGTTTTGCACATGCGCACCGGTAACTTGTACCTTACTTGACTGTATTCGCGGCCCAAAGCCCTATCTGTACAGGTAAATAGTAGAATGATCAAGGCAGGCTATTAAAAAAAAAAATGAGTGAACAAACCGATAAACTATCAAATATCTATTCATCAGTTAAAAATATTGCCAAACGCGTAACAGGTAAGTTCACAAACAATCATAGAGTTGACTAAAGGAAATACACTATTAGTGACTAATAAAGACATAAGTGACAACTGTTGAGAGTAGTGATGTTGCTGTGGTATGTGACCCGGGCGAGATGCCACTGATCACTGATGGATGCTGGCGGAATACTAAACACGACCAAAACCAGACAGAGGATAGATTATGGCGCGGCGCTGGTCGAGGAGGGGAATATAGAGACGTGATTGGGAAATTATTCTTGCCTAATGTCCAGCAGATAGCATCGACAGTAAGGGCAATTTTAAACTAAAATGACACAAGTTTTATTGTACGTTGACTCAATTCCATAACAGTGAAAATATCATTTAGCCAAAAATGAACACCGCTTTGATTTTCCTACATAAAAATACACAGTGTTGAATTCTCCCAACTATCAAAATCATTAAAAAACAATGAAAAAATTAGTGCATTTCACGTGCAAGTAAAGAAGATGGTGAATATCCCATGATAACTGATTAAATTTATATACAGTAAGGTATAGTCTGTAGGCAGGTTACATATCTTGTGACAGGGAGTAGAAAGGCCTAGGTAAAGCAGTTGTTGTGATTCACAGGGAAACCCTCCACCAGAGCCGAACCATATCGTTCAGACTTACAACAACTTCAGGCTTCCTTACGAAAACTCGGGTTTAAGTACAGAGGACCTCTCTAGATTAATACGTTAACAATTCATTTGAATATGGAATTTGAATCAGTCATATATTCACTACGCTTCAGCCTAGTAAAGGCAACTAAATTGTTCCTTCCATGTTGATCCAGAATACAATGTGTGACGAACGAAATTATTGTAGCCATTGGTTACAAAATTTATTTGGACTTAGTCCATTCTTCTATTGAAATACTTGAAAAAAAAAAACAATTCGCATCGCAAAATATTTATCCGACTGATTACTGCGTATCTATTCAAACTTTGACGAGGGTCAAGCTGGTTTGTCATCGCTAATGTAGTTTCAGCCTGGGTAACGGCCAACTTGGTACACCTGGGCCTGCCTGGCAATAAACCCACAGTGTCAGTTTAGAAAGTGCACAGAAAACTAACATTCGTCATGAGCTCCTATACATATTTCCTAAATACTACTACATTTACATTGATAAACTGCATTGAATAGGGCCCATATGCGTGAACAAGTAGACCTATACGATGTTTTAATGTAATCGAAAAGGGGGAGGGAGCTGGTCTAGTGGTTAGAGCGCGGGACTTCTTCCCGAGGTCCCGTGTTCAAATCCCGCAAAAGCACCGATGGACTTTACCCGAGTGATAATGCCACAACCCCCATAAACAAATAGGTCTAGCTAGTAATGTGAAAAAATCCCAGGCTCGTGCCTAGCGTCTTAGGACAAAAAAAGTAAGAGAAAAAGGTGCGATAAATGAAGTAGGCTAAGCTCAAACTAAAAAAAAAAACTTAAATATATCTAACTACACCCGACAAAATAGAACATATTGAGTCGATACATCCAAACTAAACTCTTGCTTTGTAAACGGTTGATCTTTAAACGCTGAAACTACTTGAACTCGCATACAAGAAATATTCGCGAAACGCAATTATCCAGCAAGCACATTTAAAAAGTACACGCTGAGCATACAAGGACGGGGTACATGTTAGGAAGGACGGGGGTCACCGAGCAACAAAACATGAGCTTATCGAGTCCTGAATATTGCTTTGTTACAAAACGTGTTTATGCAGCACGTGTCACACTACTTATGCAAGTATTGGTCGGTGATACAACAGGACGAAACCTCACATTTGGTTCCCTCGACAATTACATTTACACGAGCGGTGATTCAAGGCAAGTTTTAGAGTTAAAACTTAGCACTGCATCAATACAGTGGCTTATTTCAGTAAAAAAAAACTAAGCGTAATCAAATAAATCACTTCATCCAATGTTTACCTCTCAATCAAAGCTTACACACATTATTAACTAAGCAAAAACTACTGACGAAATGCACTAACAATATTGTTGCTGGCGTACAGAATATTGAACGATGAGGACTCTAAGTAGCCTTGTAAGAATAACCGGTAACTACCTACCAAGTGAATTAAAAATTAGTGTTCAAGGCAAGCCTAGTTTTTTTCGGAGTAGCCTACATAATCAATCCACACAACTAACAATTGAGGTAGGTTTACTGTTATGGTTACAGATTTTGTAAAAAATACGGAAAACTTTACGTTATTTCCTTGTGATATAAAAAAACGAGTGTAATAGTATAAATTGTACCAAGCTTGTAAGTAGCAACTGTCGACGAGAGTCTATAAATAAACATTAGATAGGTACTCATTATAACGGGTTTTTAATAATAATAAATCATCCAAGATAATAAAAATATAATGTGTGTTTCCCAAAGATACGACAAAGAGCAGTAGCCTACTTTTCTGAATCTAATAAAATCTCAACATGAAATATCATTGTAGAAAATAAACCTAAATCGATATCCTTGAAACAAACGAAGGAAATGGAAATGAACACTGCCATCAGGAGCGCAAGCAATAATCATAACTTGGCATAACCAAACGGCAAGACCAGCCGTAGCGTATAATACAGCCGGGTCGATACGTACTGTACAGCTACTTTCATATTTAACATGCAATTTTTCGAGTAAAAGTGCAGTCTTTGTTATTTGAACATATCGACTGTTGAACGGGTTGAACGTTACTACAACAAAAACTCGGAAAATCTATCATGGTTGATAATCAATTTTAAACCCACAGTATTTGTACTTTTAGATTTTTATATTACGTTACAATCGAAGTCAAATTATTAACATTGTATGAAAAAAAACAACTGTGGAATTTTAAGTTTGCATTGTTCCAAAAACTTTCTCTGAATTTAATTGAAGGTCGCCATCTAAGAACAGTTGTCAAAATTCTCCTAAAATAGGCTATATAACTAAGGAGAACATCAATGGTTGAAAAACAAAGTTTCATAAACAAAAAAAAACATGAGGTCAATGACAAGTTTAGATAAAATATATCCGTACATGTTGATGCATGTAGTGGCGAGGATAACGTGATAACAAGTTGATGACGTGTGTTATGTTACGTTGTATCCTTCTTACTCCGGGCACTATCAATAACTACTGACTACTCAGTACTCACTGTATACAGTACTACGTTCTATTTACCAAGGGCGAAGTAATAAAATGTATACAAACATAGTTAGAACTCACACTGTACAGTGTGTCACAGTATCCCAGACCACCCAGCCGGCTTCTATAGCTTCAATATGAAAGA